AGCTGAGCTCCAGCTGCCCTGATTTACCTAGTCTCTCAGCCCAGAGGTATCCGTTGAAGGACCTAGTCTCACTCCTACCCTAGAGGTATGACCTCATGTTGGCTGCACTGACACGGGCATGAGGGGCAGGGCCTGAGCCTAGCAGAACTGGGCAGGATGCAGGCAGAGGAGGTCAGCTATGGCTCGGACCCCTGCTCACTCCTTAATGTGGGAGCTCCATCTCTGCCTGCTCCTGCAGACAAAGCCCCACAAGGCCTGGGGGAGGGGTGGGAAGAAGAGACTCAGAGGCCCAAGCCGCCCCGCCCCCCATTCAAGTGCTAATGAGCTCCAGCAGTGAAGGAGAGGGCTGGGAGAGAATGTCGGGTCTAGAGGCCAGCCTGGGTGGGTTCTAGCCCACCTGGCACCCAGGGCCCTGCCACATCTCCAAACCTAGGCCCCCAGAGGTTGAGCCTAAGGCGCCCAGGACAATCTGTCACCAACTATCTGCACACCTTGGGCTCCCCACTTGCTGTGAATGGCTGCCTCCTTCCCACTCAGCAGTGAGTCTCTCATCCACTTTCTTTTTTTTTGAGACAGAGTCTTGCTCTGTCCCCTAGGCTGGAGTGCAGTGGCACCATCTTGGCTCACTGTAACCTTCACCTCCCAGGTTCAAACGATTCTCATACCTCACCTTCCTGAGTAGCTGGGATTACAGGCACGCACCACCATACTTGGCTAAGTTTTTTGTATTTTTAATAGAGATGGGGTTTTACCATGTTGGCCAGGCTGGTCTCGAACTCTTGACCTGTGACTCCTGACAGGTGCTCCGCCTGCCTCAGCCTCTCAAAATGCTGAGATTATAGGTGTGAGCCACAGCGCCTGGCCTCCCTCACTCATTTTCATACCTCCAGGGTTTGGTGGACTGTCCCTATAACAACTGTGGCTGCAGGGAGGCACCTCTGCCTCCAGGTTATGAATGGAGAGCAAGACTCCTTCCAGGGCTTCACCTGATGCTGAGTTTCTCAGCCAGTGCCTTAGGTGGAACTGGGATTCAAACTCAGGTCTGGGTGACCCCATGGGCTGGTCCAGGGAGGATAGGCCCTCCCACAGCCCTGCCAGGAAACACCCACCCAAGGTCTTGGGAATAAAGGGCCAAGTCTTTCTGCTGCAGAGCTCTTGTCGAGTCAGTCCCTCTGCCCTCCAGTGCCTGGCCCTGGCAAATGGTGTTCATCCTTCACAGATGCCCACCAGACCCCTCCTCCTCCAGGAAGCCCCCCTTCACAGACACCACTAGAGTCTAACCCACCACCCAGCCAGCCAGAATCCCAGGCTAGCCCTTCCCATCTATCTCCTGCTAGACCAGGCTCTAGGGCTGCTGCAGAATTAAACTTACCCCTCTCCCAGGAGCTATGCCCTATTCGTGGACACATTCGATCACTTCATTCTGTCCATATACACTCATTAGGCATCTATAGTATGCCAGCCCTTTGCAAGAGACACAGACAGGACAGAGGCCACAAAATTCCCTTTCTTTTCTCTTGGTAAACTTAACTGAGCCCTTGCTATGTGCAGTCTCTGCGCTGGCCAGTCCCAGGCCTCTCACAGTATTGCTCTGGTCTGAGCCCCAGAGCAGAGGGGCAGCCCCAGTGGGACCAGCCAGCTCAAGCTCTACTGTGGCTGCCAGAGTGGCAGAGACAGCAGCCCTCTAGCAGTGCACAAACAGCCTGAGTTGGAAGAATACAAAGCCAGAACTCTCCCAGATGAACAGGCTGCAGGCTGCTCAGCAGGAGTTCCGCAAGGGGTGGGGTAAGAACTGTTTCGGAGGTGCCAGCATAGCCTGTGGCAGGGCTGGGAAGAAACAGCCTGAAGAGTTTTTCTCAGTGTCCCCTCAATGCTGGTCACCGACCTTGCAGTGGGCCTGTGGACCCTTGCTTCCTGCCCACAGTATCCAAACTGCTGCTCAGTTTACCCCTCCGTCTACCCAAAATCAGGTTCAGAGGATACTTCCTTCTTTCAACAAACAGATGAGAAGCACCCAGTAGATGCCAGGCTCCATGCCCGGCACAGAAATGAAGAGGACATAGCCCTGCCCGGCAGCCTCCAGGTATCTGATGGGAGAAGCAATAGCACTGGGAGCCAGAGATGTTTCACCAGCCTTGGTTGAGGGAGGATGTCCAGGAAGGATCCTGGGAGGTGATTCTGGAGTAAAGCTTTAAAGCACAATCAAGTAGGGAACAGCAGATGCAAAGTTCCAGGGGACAAGAGAGAACAGCTATATTTACATTCTGAAGCCTTTACGGAGCCAATGGTGGACACTGTCCCCTTTTTCTGTGAAGCTGTCCACGCAAGCCCATCCCAAATCAGAGACTATCCCCCTCACACACACTCTGGCTTCCTTTCCCCTAAGTGCCCAGCCCACAGCCCCAGATTCCATCTGGGCCTAGCTGGTCAGTCACATTGAGCTGGGTAGGAGTGGGGAGCATCCCTAGAGTAGGATTGGTATCTTCTCCCCCCACCAAGCTGCCAGGAAAACTCTGTGTGTACCACATCAGCCTCTGCCCTGGTGACAGGACTGTGCCCGCCTGCTGGCAGGGCTATCCAGGATGGGAGGGAGGGAGGCAGTGTGCGGGCGGGGCAGCAGGCGTGGTTCTGGCTGGGAGGGAAGGCTGGCAATTGCCCAATCTGCGTCCCGTTGCCTGGACAAAGTCTCCCGCTACATGGGACAGGCGCCCAGAACTCTGAACTTGCCACAGCTGGACTCCCATCGTCACCTTGCACCTGGATGGGCAAGGCTTGGCTCAAGCCAGGATTCCGCCCCAGGCAGCCAAGGCAGATTGGGTCGACAGTATCAGGCAGAGCTTGGCTGGGGCCCTTTGCAGCACACACTCTGCGGGGTCTTAATCCCCAGCCCAAAACCCCAACAAGAACCACCAGGGGGCTCTTGTTCTCCCCATTCTGAGCTGGGGGACTCCTTCGGCCCAAACCCAGGAAGCCCATTTCACAGAGTAAGCAAAGGCCAGAGGGGCGGGACCCCGGGGTGAACTCCCCAGGTTAGAAAGTGCTGAGCCAGACCCTGCACCCCTGGCTGCTGCAAGCCCAGTGTGGGAAGAGTTGCTAGGTCCCACCTGACTTAGCAGAGGCCTGGTGGGATGGGGGACCCTTCTGGTGTCGGGACACAAAACTAGCCAGAAGCCCTGGGTTCTCCCAGCTCTGTGGTCCAGTCTCACATCTCCTCCGCCACCACAGTAACTGCGATTAGCCTGGGAAGAGGCTTCTGGCTGGGCACTGGGAGGCAGCGGTACCGGAAGTGCCCTCCCCAGGCCCGGCGGGCAGCAGCAGCAGCGAAGGGCATTCCGCCGCGTCGACACCCACTCACTGTCGCTGCCGCACTCACAGCAGAGACAGGAAGAGGCAAGCGCCCAACGCAAAGCAGCCCAGGAGGCTGGGCCGCCGCCCCTTCCCGCCCCTTCTCTTCCTCCCTGAGGCAGCAGCGAAACGGATGCCATTTTGAAACCTCCGGGGCTGTGCCCTGGAGGCCGGGTCCCCCGGGACAGTCAACAGATGGGCCCGTAATGGACATACACGCTCTTCCTTGGCCACAAGCCTAGCATGAAAAGCCCTGCTTTTCACAGCCTGGGGCCCCATGACAGTTCTGAAGCCGAGGGGCCACACCCCCCTGTGCACTACCCAGCCTACAACGGTGCTGCGCTGTTACGAGAGCCTCCCTCCCCCCAACTCTAAAACCCCCAAATCAAAATCAGACTGCCACTGGGCACCACCCCTGCTTCCAGTGGGAGGCTGGATGGGGACAACCAGTAAGCCCATGGTCATTGAGAAAGGCCAGCTGGGATGCTCAGAGGCACCCAGGCCCACCCCCAACTAGCCCCTCAACTCTTTATTCGGCCAGTCCATTCCCCTTCACAAGGCCCCAAGATCAAACAAGTCCCCCTACTCTCAGAGGCTACATCCCAGGCCTTGCAGCCCGGAAGGGGTGTGGGCAGCCCAGCACCTACTAGCAGATCTCCTGGGCCCACCCGCAGGGGCAGCAATATGTCTGCTGTCTCACCACTTCCACTTCCCCCCACCGCTCTAGCAGCCACCATCTTCCCTGGCCTTGGAGGCGGCCACAACCCTAACTCCTCCACACTCTTTCCTATTTCCCAGACTGTAAAACATAGAGCCCGCAGAGCCTCCCTGGGAAGCCTGAGGCCTGGCCCCCTCCCCCTGTGTGACCAGTGGAGCCTCAGACCAGCCCCGTGGGGGTTCTGCGTAAGGCAGCCTAGGCCTTTTCCAACGCAGGGCTCCCTCCTCCTAGCCCAGCCCACTTGGTGCAGGAGGGGTGGAGGGATCTGGGGAAGGCCAAAGTGTAAGAGGACTTAAGGGAAGATCATCAAAGGGATTCGGGAGTGATGTCTGCAGAGAGGGATCTGGAGGGCAGGAAGCAGGGGCAGGGCTCGCTGAAGGGGTTCCAGCTGGAGAGGGAGCTCAAGAACAGTTTCCCACTCGAGAGGTTTCTTGGGTCAGAGTGCACAGGTGGAGGATACAGATTCCAGACTAGCAATGGGGCACAGAGGGAGAAGGAGGCAGTGGGTGGGGGGCCTCGCGGGGGGTCTGGCAGGGGCCTGCGGGATGCTCACGCACAACAGGAATAAAAGGCTCAGGTGGGGAAAACAAGTGGAGCCTGAGGGTTGGGGAACAAGTGGCGGGCGTCCTGGGGGTTTGGGTAGTGTGGGGAAGGATGGCGGGGGTTCGGAAGTTCTGTGAAGCTGGTTAGCAAGGGCAGATGGCCAAGCAGGGCTCTGGACCGCAGGTGTTGGGGCACTGTTGACTGGATTTGGAGGTCTGGGGTCTGGAATGAGATGGGGGTCTGGGCAGGATCAAAGGTCTAGCCCACCCTAGAGTTTTCAACCCTGGTCCTGGACTAGGTGTGGGGATCCAGGCGGGCCTGGGAGTTTGAAGCCCTAGTCTGGGAGGTCAAAGTCCTCGTCTGGGGGGATTCAAGCTGCGGGACGCGGCCTCACCCAACAGCAGCAACTTCACCTCCCGCGCCGCCTTCTCGCCGTCCTCCCGCAGGTTCTTGTCGATCATCTTAGAGCGCTCGGCCGCCGCCTTGTCCTCGGCGCTCACGGTGCACCCCATCCCGCCGTCCGCCGGCCCGGCCGCCGCCCGGCCCCCACACGGCCCACGGCCCACGGCCCGGCTCGGCCCCGCCCGACCCACTCCGCTCCCACCACCAGCCCTAATGCGGGAAGCTCTCGGGTCCGCAGTTCCGAGCGTCTGCTGTAGGCGCCTTCTCGACCGCCGCGCACCGACCGCGGGGCGGGGCGGGGGTGGGGCCTGGACGAACCAAGCCCGGGACTGGGCCTGGGCGGGTCTGGAGGCGGGGCCAGAGGAAATTCGAGGCTGGTGATTGGCTCGAGCGTGGAGAGAAGCGAGAAGTTAAGCGCAGCCCAGGCTCGGGTCTGGGCTGCAGGCGGGGCCACGCCGAGCAAAGGCAATAGGGTTGGATCCGAACGAAGGGACCCGGCGCTGGGCAGGCTGCAGGCGGGGCCGGGCTCCGATTGGGTGCTGCGGGACAGCCGGGGGGGCGAGGGTGGGGATCTCGTGTCCTCTGGAGCCGAGCAGGAACCCGCCCTCTGAGCGTCAGTGAGTTGGGCGAGTTAGGTGGAGGAGGCGTGTCTTTTGTCATTTGTTAAAGTTAATGGGCCCAATCAACTTGTTTTGGGATCTACAGAACCCGGGGGCCCTTCTGGACTGCGGTTTTCTCAGACTTAAGGCGGGTTTACCCCCTTCTCCCTCTGGGTTGCAGCAAGTCGAAAAAGAAAAAAAAAGACCTGGCGCTGTGGCTCACACCTGTAATCCCAGCACTTTGGGAGGCCGAGGCGGGCGTATCATTTGAGATCAGGAGTTCAAGACCAGCCTGGCCAATATGGTGAAACCCCATCTCTACTAAAAATATAAAAATTAGCCAGAAATTACAGGTGGTGGGCACCTGTAATCCTAGCTACTCAGGAGGCTGAGGCAGGAGAACCACTTCAATCCGGGAGGTGGAGGTTTCAGTGAGCCGAGATGGTGCCATTGAACTCCAGCCTAGGCCACAGGGCGAGACTCTGTCTCAAAAAAAAAAAAAAGTCGATTTCCACCTCTACACCTTTGCCTAGGCTGTCTCCTTCAGCTGGGTGCCTTCTCAAGTAATCCAAGTCTTACCAATCCTTCCCCAATCTACCTGGAGACATTCTTCCTCAGGCAGCCATCCTGGACTCCAATCTGGGACCAGGCAACCAGAACCCAAAGGAGGAAGGGAGAGAGGGAGAGAAGGTGGAGAGGGAGGAAGAGGGGAGGGCAGACAGGCAGGGTGAGGGGGTTGGGAGGGAAGAAAGAGGAAGAAGTTGCCACTGGACTTCTAGAAACAAAAGTGGCCACGATCTTATTATCTGTCTTTTCCATGGCCTGTCCACGTCTGGAGGTGGCCATGAACCCACATCCCACCCTCTTGTGGCCTGTCCCCACTGGGCAATGGCTGCAACCCTATGGCCAGGCAAAGGTGGGGTGGAGGCAGCAGTGGTTCTAGCTGAACATTTCAAGTCTTTCTGATCCTGCGCTCCAGGAGGAGCCCACAGCCCCAACCTCGACTGGACATTGGAAGGGTCTGCCAAATATTACTCACTAAGGCGTTTTGTGTGGCCCCAGTGCCATGAGGCCAGGAGGCCCCAGCCCAAAGACAGGGAAGGTCCCTGAAGCAAGACAGGGTACTTGCAAACAACAGCCCGCTATTTAGCACAGACTACTTAGAATGTTGGTACACATTTTGGCCAGGAATGGTGGCTCATGCCTGTAATCCCAGCACTCTGGGAGGCCGAAGCAGGCAGATCTCTTGAGGTCAGGAGTTCAAGACCAGCCTGGTCAACATGGTGAAACCTTGTCACTACTAAAAATACAAAAATTAGGTGGGTATGGTGGCGTGCACCTGTAATCCCAGCTACTCGGGAGTCTGAGGCAGGAGAATCGCTTGAACCTAGGAGGCAGAGGTTGAAGTGAGCTGAAATCACACCACTGCACTCCAGCCTGACAATAGAGTGAGACTCTGTCTCAAACAAACAAACAAACAAAGCTTGGTACACATTTTGTCCCAATTCCCCAGGCTGGCTATTCTCCCTGGAGTGTCTGCATATCCCTATCTGAATGTTTCTCTTGATAAGGAGTCATTGTCCTGGAAGTCCTCCAATGACTCCCTCAGGGCTCCCTCCTGTCCTGAGACATGGGATATGGTGCCCCATGTCCACCACTGCTCTGAAGCTCAGGCAGGCCCTGCCATGGACATGAAACATGTTGAGGATACATAATGCCCACCAGGGACACAGATATGCTGTATACACCCACACATAGGTCAGCCTCCAACATGCCTTAAATCCACAGAACACCCTACAGAAATGGGTGCACATGGCCAAGAATACAGTCTGTCCACGCACAGACTACAAACTGGCTTCCAAGGTGGGCCCCTCCCCTTCCCTTCACACGTTGCCCCGCCCCAGGCTTGAGAGCCGATCCTCCCTCCTCTGGCCTCTCTAGCCTGCTCCTAGCAACAGCCAACAGCTCTCACAGTTGCCAGGCAACAGGGAGAACCTGTCAGCCCCTTGGAGGCCCAGCTCTCAGTAGGTGGGCACAACACAGACCCCAATCTATGGAAGCAGGGCAGGATGGAGCCTGGCCTTCCCCAGCCCCAGGACAGGTCCTGTGGTTATCCCACCCTTCCTGCCAGTTAGCTACTCCTTTCCAGTCCTGTGCTCTTCCCAGAGAGTCCAGCAACCCTTGCTTCCACTCAGCTGGCTGCTCCTTCTCCATCTCCATGGGATCCCCAGGGCTATGGCCAGGCCTCTGCTTGTCACTCCAGTCATACGCCTCACACTTTGGGGGCTCAGAAACCCACAGGGTCCTCTCCACTTCCTTGATTGCCAGCCCCATGTCCACCACTGCTCTGAAACCTCCCCCAGACACCTGGGCACCTCAAATACACACTGTCCAGAACTGGGTACATCCCATCCCACTGACCCCTGTTCCTAGGCTCTCCATCACTTCATGGTCCCCCAACCAGCCACAGCAACAACCCCCCTCCCCTACCCCTATATGCCATCAGCCTCTTCCCTATCTCAATTTCTCCTCCAATCTGTATCTGTTCTCTGTCCCCACTATCTCCCAGTCTAGGACTCTAAGCTCTTCCTTGGCTCTCCTGTTTCCCCTACAATCCATCCTCCACATGGCAGCCAAGGATATCATACTGAAAGAAATCACATCACCAGGTGTGGTGGCTCACACATGTAATCCCAGAACTTTGGGAGGCCAAGGTGGGTGGACATGAGGTCAGGAGTTCGAGACCAGCTTGACCAACATAGTGAAACTGTGTCTCTACTAAAAATACAAAAATTAGCCAGGCGTGGTGTCAGGTACCTGTAATCCCAGCTACTCAGGAGGCTGAGGCAGGAGAATCACTTGAACCCGAGAGGTAGAGGATGCAGTGAGCCGAGATCAAGCCACTGCACTCCAGCCTGGGCAACAGAGCAAGACTCCATTTCGAAAAAAAAAATAAATAAAGAAAGAAAGAAATCACATCACTCCCTTGCTTGGAAATCTGTGGTTCCCCAGTTCCCTGGGGATAGATAACGCCCCCACACAGTGGTTTGGACTCTGCAGGAGGTGGAGGCTGTAGACTGGCAGCTGGCAGCAGAGACTCTGAGGAGTAGTCTCCAAACTTGCCAACTATTTCTTACTTTGGACAAGTATCAGAAACTTCCTGTGCCTCAGTTTTCTCATCAGTAAAATGGGTCTAACAGTTATACATGCCCAAAGCACAGGCAAGAGGTCAGGACTCCAGGAGGAAACATGTAAAACATGCAGAATGTGCATGGTACATAGGAAGCCCTCAATAAATATGAGGTGCTATAGTAGTGATTTCTGTTTTTGAGACTGAGTCTCACTCTATCAGCCATGCTAGAGTGCAGTGGCAAGATCTAGGCTCACCGCAACCTCTGCCTCCTGGGTTCAAGTTTTTCTCCTGCCTCAGTCTCCCAAATAGCTGGGATTACAGGTGCCTGCCACCATACTCGGCTCATTTTTGTATTTTTAGTAGAGATGGGATTTCACCATGTTGGCCAGGCTGGTCTTGAACTCCTGACCTCAGATGATCCATCTGCCTTGGCCAAAGTGCTGGGATTACAGCTGTGAGCCACTGCACCCAGCCCTTTTTTT